TAATACTGACATATGGGTGATCTTGATTTTGATGATGTCCACATGATTTCATAATCATTGTTTGTATGCTTCTCCAGTTGCATCTTATGGAGTTGTTAGTAAACATTCATAATAAGTGGAATTTTAGTTTATTAATTACCTGATTTAATTGACATTATTTGTTCATTTTGTAAATGCATCTTAGACATGTATTGATGGCGACTACCCTAATCAAGGGAGGAATATTCTTGATGAGTACACGAAGGGCTTTAAGCAGATAAGAGATGAATTATTTATTGAGCAAGAGTTCAAGAAAAAGTAAGTTGTGCATATACCAATAAAGTATTATTGTATGAAAGTATATTTCACAATTTTTGTGGTTGAAAGTAGGTCAACTAAATTGTACATGAAATACCTAAATCATGTAAATGGTTGCTTGTGGAGGTTGATGGCATTATTATTGATGAATGTAAATAGGTGGGTTATTTCCAAGAGGTTGTGCATTTATCACATTTGTTTGAACTTTTATCTTTTCCAAGATCACAAACACCTTGATTCTTATTTTATATGCTTAGGCATGCTAGGTACGATGATATTTTAATTCATGCACTTATACTGGTTAATTGTGCATTATTGATTTAAATTTTTATTTTATTTTATTTTGGTGGAAAAATAATTTTTTTTAATACTGTTAATATTTATATTATACTTTTCTGTGTTAGGGACCGGTAAGGATGTTCACGGTCTGGATTGGATTGGTTTTGGATGCAAAAATTATCTGATCCAATTCCTTCGTTTTAATCATGTAATCATCCATTCAGTTTCGATTTTTTTTCATATATGATCCAACCCAATTTTATTCAGTTTGGATCGATTTTTTTTTTAATCCTAAAATTTCAGTCATACAAATCACTAGCTATATCAAGATGAACAACCTTAGGGACCGGTACACTACGTCAGCCATAATGGATCCAAAGGAACATGATTAATAAAATGTGGAGGAGAACCCAGGAGAGGTTTCATGCCGCTAATTAGTAAATTATATTAATAAAGATAGCAATAGTTAATGATATTTAATAAAATTATAAAATAACACTAACATACTAGAGAGTTGTTGGTCCAGTGGTGTCATGACCGTAGGACTTGACCCGCCTAAAAAGGTAATGGGTTCGATTTTTAAGAAACACAACTCCTTGACAGGGTGGAGAAGCTTAAACCCAAAATCGGATTAGTAGTACATATCCATATGAATTTCGGACACCGATTGATATCTAAAAAATGAATTAATAAAGTGAAATAAATTATTAAGTAACAGCTAAAACATTAATTGGTAATTGTTAATTAATAAAACTCTAAAAAATAAGTAACTAATAAATTAGCCAATAATTACAAAATTGACAGTGAACAATAATTCAATTTCCTAACCAACAAAATAAACATTAATTGCTAGATTTCTGACTATCAATACTTAAATAAAAAATTAAAATACTAGCTAACAAATTAGACATTAATTACAAAATGACTAAGTAATAATAATTAACAAATGATTAAAATAACTAAACAACATAATAAACATTAATTAGTTGCTAACTACGTAAAATAACACAATAATTAAAATAACGAACTGACAAAATCTTTATTAATTTCTAAATGACTAATTAAAAATAATTAAAAAATAATTAAAAATATTCTCCAACTAATTAAATATTAATTATTAACTCAGTAATAAATTAATCACTAATTAAATCCCCAAATTAATATAAACAAAGTCAAATAATTGTTAAAGAAACATTAACATCAAGTAAAAAATTTGCTGAGAATTATTGAGACTTAAGAAGTGGGGGAAATTGAGAGTTAAATAAAGAGGGAGAATGAAAGAGTGAAAGTAACTAGGAATAAGATTTGGAGTATTAATAACGGGTGGGAATAAGGTCACATATTTGTGCCACATGAACCAATCAAAGGCGCTAAAGGTTACAGATTCTCTCTTTCTCAATTGTTTGGTCTACGTGGCATGTTTGTCCTTTTTATTTTATTTTTTGATAATAAGAGAGGCCTAAGGCCCACAAACAAACAAAATATAAGAGAAACAAAGAAAAAGAAACTATCATGTTCGTTATTCAAAAAGAAAAGAAAAGAAACTATCATGTTCTAATTAAGCGACGGGTGCTGAAAGAGGAGTTTAGCATCTTGCATTTGGAATAAGGGGATAGTTGAAAACACAGATTAGGATAAAGTAATTATTCCAGCCAAAGATAAAAGTTTAGATTGCCAATTTTCACATTATGAAATTTATCATACAAAATTTACCATGATATTTTTTACAAGATAAAATTAAAGACATAACTCATCGAGGTAAAGAATATGCAGAAACATAAATCAAAAATCATCTCTCTCTGTATGAAATTATATTTCTTGTAGGAATATAAATTCATAAATTATAAATTAGTAATTATAACACTTGAAACATAATTTGCTAAAGTAAATGACTTAAAAGAAATTGAAATGTGATATTTCATGGGGATATGTTAAGCAGTTAAGGTAAGAAGAGGACAAATAAATAAGATAACAAAAATAACACTTCATTGAGGTTTATATTTTAAAAGGAAAAGGAAAATTATCTTCACCCTTAGTGTTCACTTTTATATTTTCTTGTTATCAAGCTTCTTTTCTCTCATTTTTTTCTCCCACTCTCCTAGTAGAGTTTTCTCCAATATTCCCAAGAACCCTTACTCTTTGATTTCTCCTAATTTTGAAGCAATCACTAATGATATCTTATTACCATATAAATGATAAAAGTGATAGTTTACTATTTTATTAACAAATATTTCCATGTGAATTTCCAAGAAGTTTTGTTTTTGAGTTCAACAAGTTCACATGGTTTATGCGATATATGTTCAAAGAGGATGTAAACATGATCATTAAAAGACAATTAAAAACATATAAAATAATGTCTATAAAAAAAACATATAAAATAATAGACTTCACATACAATAATTCATACAAATATTTTAGTATTTAAAACATTAAAATTATTATTATTATTTTAGGGTTTATAATATAATATACTCTTATTATTAGGTGGTAATAAATTAGTGGTTGTGTATATGGACTATTGAAAAATGAGCACATGAATTTATCACTTTCTTCAGTTATTAAGCCTAATTTTATTTATTGTTTTTGTTAGGGGTGATCATTTGTGTTCGTGCGTCATGTTTGTGTCGATTTGAATTTTGACATGAACACAAATACACTTGCTGCAAAGACGACACAACTCACAAGTAAATATTTATACCAAAACCTTCAACACGAATACGCAACACTTATTTTGCGGCCGACAAGATACAAAACAAATAATTCTCAAACCTCAAAATGTGCCGCTTTTATGCAAGTTGACACAACATGACACGACACAAATAAACAACCAATCTCAAATTGTCTCGCTTATTATGCGGGTTGACATAATATGACAAACACAAATAACCTATGTATTGAACTTTGATTTCACTGATGTCTTGCTGAAATGACAACTAACTTAAAGAAAATTAATACCTGCCAGTGTCATGTTTGATGGTTGACACGTAACACGATAATAATTTTTTCATGCAACATTTTGTTAACACGAAAACAGCACAATCGTCTGGACCACTGGCAAGTACTGAATCTCTTATTTTTGAATCTAATATTGATGCTTCTGATAACTTACCCATTGCCTTAAGAAAAGGAAAAATATATTGTATCCAAAGATCTTATCACTTTTGTCCTCAACACCCTATCTCCCATTTCATTTCTTCTACTAATCTTTTTGTGCAACACAAAAGCTTTGTTTCAACACTAGGTTCTATCTCAATCCCGAAATCAGTATATAAAGCATTAAAAGATGAGAATTAGGCTCAAGCTATGCAAGGGAGATGAATGCCTTGGAGAAAAATAAAATATAGGAGGTTGTTGATAGACCTGATGGAAAGAAAGCAGAAAGGGGGCAGATGGGTTTATGCCCTGAAATATAATTCAGATGGAACTTTTGAGAGATATAATGCTCGATCAGTCGCCAAGGGTTACACTCATACCTATGACATTGATTATGAAAAAACTTTTACCACAATCACAAAGATAAATACTGTTAGAGCGCATGGAGGGTCGGCCAGAGCTCGGCTTTTCACAGCAGGGTCGCCCGGAGATTGTTATCATGTCTGTGGCTGATCGGAGCTCAAAAGGTAATCGGAACAGTACTTTCCGATGATGAACAATAGCGATTTGGGCTAATGTGGTCGTCTTTTAATTGGGAAACATTTGTAAATTGATAGATCTAACAAAACAGAGTCAAATATTAGTCCTCTCGGTCCAAAAAGTCCCCAATTTTTTTCGGTGGCGGTGATAGGCAAACAAATAGGATTTTGCTCTAAAGGCAGCAATTGCTGAAGCAGAGCCCTCAGAATCGAGAGCTTTGATACCAACTTGAAAAGATAAGGAAAATATATTATTGAATTGTGTATTACAACTGTACCAGAGCTCTCTATTTAAAAAGACTGAATGACCTTATAGGCTAAACCCAAAGAAGACTCTAGAATAAAAAAAAATGAATAACTAATTACAACATGTGTCGACCCGAACACGGATTTCTCGTATCGTGTTAAAAAAAAATTCTACTAATATTAGTACCATTATTTCAATTTTGTGTTGGATCCCAAATCTCAAAGTATTTGTTTACATATTTGTGGAGTGTATCACTATTATTATTATAAAATAAGGAAAAAAGTTTGGGTCGAAACTTAGATAACTAGAGAATGTAAATGCAAAATTATTAGAATTGATCTAGTGACGAGGAATTTGAATAATTTGCATGAAGTCATAGGTTCAAATCTCAGTGTCACTATTATATAAAAAAACGTAAATGCAATTATATTGTTATTTATATCAAATTAAATAGACAAAAGTAAAAAGGAGGGAGAGGGGGGAGGCTAATCTAATGTGCCCATTTATATTTTATATTTTTTTCAGATCAAAATGTAACTGGCTATCTAACTGATTCTGTCCATAAATATCTTGGCCTTTTTGTACGCTTTTGTCAAGCACTTTCTAAACCTGGTGATATCAAGTTTTACATTTTGCTTCTTCAAATATATTCGTTTCTTGGCCCATTTTTCCTCATGAAAAGCTTTTGGGTCCTTGATCGCTAAGCTATTAGCTCCATAACTCTCTGACAAGCTGCTTTCATTGGCCTGAATCTTGTACTCTATGTATTCCAACCCCAAAATCTTAGTTGGGTCCTTATAGTAAGTTCTAGAAGGCCAATCAGTTCCAATAGGCACCACCTGCACCAACACTGACCCTGGCCTAAGGAACAAAAAATGTGTTAGGCCTGCACCATGCACACCTAACATAACATGACTTGTGTGAATAAGCCTATAAGCTTTGACCATAGAGGAGTTTTTTGATGGCTCCAACACATGCACATTGAACCCCACTTCCTCAGCTACCTTTATGACTTCATCTTGATTTAAAATCACACGGCTCACATTCCCTCTTCTACTCACCAATGTGAGATTTGGCCTCCCCCACTTGTTGGGATACAATAATGGGGTGCCATCTTTGGTATATGCATTTTTTAGAAATGTATGGAAATCAAAAAGGGTTTTAGGAAATGGTAACAATTTTGGGTCTATGATCATGGGCCCGTGCTTTATCAACCCTATGGTGGCTGATGAAAAACAATGATTGGTTGTTAAGTTCTTTGTGTTGATGATCAAGTGGCCATGACTAAACGCGGATAACAATTCAGCATACTTCTGGAACCACCAGATCATTCCCCCAGTGATCACAAGTACAACATCTTGATTAGGGAATAAGGAATTGATGGTGATGAAGAGTGGGATGAAGTTCTCGTTTATTTCATGGAAGAAGTTTCCAGTGTACCCACCCGCACTGAATACAAGTGCTGGGCTATGGTGTGTGACACCACACGTTTGTTTTGGTGGAGATGAGGTGATTGTGATTTCTTTCACATAGGACATTGCTGTCTTGTCATTTTTAAGAGGGTAAGGATGGATTTTCACAGGGTTATTGGGCTGGGCCCGTGAATGGGGGCCCAAAGTAAAGAGAGTTGAGGAAGCATGGTCCAAAAGTGTTGGGCTATTAACTGTGCAAATATCGAAATCTTTATGAGAGCGGTCACATGTGATTATAGCACTTTGATACCACTCCGAAAGTGAGAGAATGTGACTCAGTTTCACTTTCCACGTGGTTGCATCTGCATAAACAAAATGAATATTTTGAAAAATGAGTATTTTACTTGCACTGAATAAGTTTGAAAGTCACTAAAGTCTAAAAACACGGATTAAATTGATATTTGAATAATAATTACTTCCACTTTTCAAATGAAGGGATTTATATTTTCACTTTTTTATATTCAAATGAATAATAAAATTTAATATAAAGTTTTTAATCGAACACAAAAATTATAATTTTTTAATTTACTTATTTTCAAGCGTGTATTCATAGTTGTCAGAATATTATTAATAAAGATCGAGTATAGTTATAATATAAAATTTATTGTGGTTTTAAATTATAATATTATAAACTTCGATTATAGTTTGTAGTTTGAGGAGAGCTTTTTCACCCTTTTGCCCCTTATTAATTAATTGATAACCATTTTACCCCTGATTCGAAACTATCTACCAATCTGTCCCTCTTTAATCGACTACCTTGCATTTTTAATCGACTAAACGGTTGTTGGGAGATTTAATCGACTAAATCTCCTTACTTAATCGATTACAATTATACTGACTTGTTTTTTTTTTTTGTCAAATATGAAGATTTAGTCGACTAAATAGGGAGATTTAGTCGACTAAATCTCCCAGCAGCCATTTTTTGTCTGTTTTGGCCATTTAGTCGATTAAAAATGAAAGGTAGTCGACTAAAGAGGGACAGATTGATAAATAGTTTCGAATCAGGGGCAAAATGGTTATTAATTAATTAATAAGGGGCAAAATGGTTATTAATTAATTAATAAGGGGCAAAAGGGTGAAAAACCCGTTTGAGGAGTGATATTCTAACTATCAAAATTTTTCACTACCAACTTATTACCTATTTAATCACCAATAGATTAACATTTTCTCTCACTTCAAAAACTTTTTAACATTCTCTCTGTTTGATCCAATGGTGAAGTGATGGACAGTAAGTTAGTAGTAAAAAATTTTGGTAGTTAGAATATCCTCACTCTTACAATTTATAGTATACCATTTATAATAAAAAACATTGAAGAGGTAATGTTTGATTATAGAAAATATTTTGAATTTATGTATGATTTTATATTTTATTTTACTTTTTTTATATAAGTGGAGATTTATTATGGATATATTTAATAAAATACAAATTTTATCAATTCTACCATTAGATCATGGTATCCATATTAAATTTTAGATAAATCAAGTATTCATAAATATTTAATCTAATAAACATTTAATATTACAAAAAAGGTATATGTTAAAATCAAATTATTTAATGAAATATACATTAAATTATGAATTTTTATAAGTTTAATCAATTCCACTAGCTAGGACTTTTAATCTAATAAATTTTTTAATTAAATATTATTATTTTTATTGAAATTATGTGTGCATTGAAGTATTGGGATCAAAATCTTAAACTCACCTAGTATCTAAATTGAAGAAATAAAATTGAAGCATATTTATGAAACTGCTGAAATTTATCAAACTGAATCTATATTCTGACTTTTTTTGTTCCATTTATAAATCATTACCTTTTCAATGTTTATTGATAATATTCTGATAACTATAATAAATGTTAATCCCATATGTTATACTGTCAACTGCGAACTATACATAACCGATGTTTATAATATCATAATTTGAAACTATAATAAAATTTATATTATAATCATATTCAATCTTTATTTAGAATATGCTGACAATTATAAATACACGTTTAGCTAGAAATAAAAAATATATAACTTTTGCATCAGGTTAAGAATTTTTTTAATAAATTTTACTATAAACTTACTTTTAATATAAAAAAATTCAAACATAAATCACTTCACTTGAAATTCACATTCAACCAAATTAATTTCACAAAATCAATATCATTTAATTAAAGTTTGTAAAAGGTTCACTCAAACACGTGATAGTAATTGTTCAAAAAATTAAACTATTTAAATTGCATAAGAACAGATGATTAAAATAATATCCTTAATTAAGCCTAACTTAAAATAAATAGTTGACATCTTTTTTTCTTTAGCTAAATACAAATACTCAATGCAATATAGAGTTTGCGGATTACCTCGTATGGCAATAATCTGGAGAAAGAAGATGAACAACAATACTGCAAAACATACAGCTGATTTTGACAATCTTGATGTCTTCGATTCCACCATGGAAATCGGAAACTGGAAGCAACGTTTAGCAAAATTTAAGGCTACAAGTCACGTTATTTCTTCAACGTGTTACCACAAAACTACAACACCCTAATTGAGAAAGAGAAAGAAAAAAACTTCAATAACATTTCTTTATGCTAATTCTCGAAGGATCACTGGTAGAATGATAAGCCAAAAGGAGAAGTTATATGTGTGTATATATATGCAGAGCTGGGGATTCGAATTTGAATGTGAATAAGAAGCTAGAGTGAATAATTGATATGGACGAACAGAATAGAGGCACGAAATTATTATTGCAACTATTGAATGTAGATTGATTATCTAAACCGAAAACAGCCTTTAGTTACCTGATAGGCTGATACTTACACCGTATCTTTTTGTGAATCGTGTATATGTGTAACTCTTACGAAAAAGAGCAACGGGAGCTTAATTTGGTGGGTGATTGTTATTAGAGTTGGACATTAAAAATATTTTTCGACCCATTTAACCTGACATGTTGTTGAATTGCCATGAATCAACCATTTGTTAAGGATCGAATTTTAGACTACTTAATCATAGATATTTTTAATCATGTTTTAAATTAATTGTCCCCAAAACTTAAACTTTTGGAATAATTATTTGTTTAACACTAATGCATATATCATTGTGATACATTTTTTCCTGGTGTGCCTGAAATGAGTATGACGTTCTATATTTGGGCCATTAAGTGGCCTTCGAATTTACACAGATAGGGCTGGATCTTTTCCAATGTTGGGCCCGATGGATCCAATGGAACCCAGAGTAAAGAATGTGTCTGTCGTGGGATTCACAACAATACTGCTTAATAAATAGTATTTTCGAACTCGTGCATCTGTCTATTTATTTTGTGATATATGAATAAAAAGTATCATCATATTTTCTAAAAAGAAGTTAAATTTCGTTTTATTTAAAAAAAGTCCAAGGTAAAACTATAACTGTACCGAAGCTTTATTTGTGGCTCTCATCATAGCATATTATAAAAATGTGGTCTCCACTTTGGTCAACTGTGACACTGTTACTCTCACGGAAAGAGAAGGTGGCTTGGGACTCGTGAAACGAAGCTTTGCTTTGATATTGGTATCGCTGCGTGAATGTGTGTATGATGTATACATTGGTAGTGTCGAATTGGTTTTGGAGCCGATCTTAGTTTTGGGATTAGAGTCATGGGACCATTGGACTTGTCCTTTTGTGCTATTAGCTGAAATTATAGACAGTACACAACACTCATTTAATAATGTGATAGTTAATGGTGAGTGGAACTTTGATTTTCTGAATGTTGCCACGATCGGAGCTACGTTGAAGCTGGGAATTAAAATTATGCTCGAATGACTGTTGGTATCAAATTTAATCATAGCTAACTTATGGAAAGTATTTTTTTTTTTTAATTGGTAGATACTTGTGCAAAGTACTTTAATATAACTCGTGTAAGACTTTTTTTTTCCTTCTAAACTTTATTTTGCGGGTTTAATATTGGACCCTCTACTAGAAAATGTTCATATTGAATCCCACAAAAAAAGAAAAAGAAATAAAATACATTGCAAAATTTAAATTCATACTTTTTTCATATCTGGCAATTTTATCTATAAATAAGCTATTTCAAAGACTCTTAAACTTTATTACTGATTGAATATTGTTGAGTCCGAGATATTATTGAGGGTTAAGGATGGCTTTTTCTTGTGGATAAATATTGATGGCAGATATTTCAATTGTCAACGCTAAAGTCAGCGAGAAAATAAGAGAGTGGAATAATTATGATGAAATAAAAATACCATACTTAATAGGGTTATCTTAAATCTTTGATTAGAGATCTTCTTATTGGTGAATAATAACACCATAATACATATATACGAACGGAAACTACGTAACGCAAATAAAATAAGGGGTTTGATTTTCTCATATTAAATGAGAATTCAATTATCATGTTGTAGAGATAAAAAGCACGTGGAACATATGTGTTATAAAAAATTATATGTAAAACCTATGTCAGTACGAAAATCGAAAGATATGTAGAAAAATTTGAATTCTCATAAAATAATCTTGTTGACAAGACTAATGCAAAATACTAATAAGAGTGATCATCTTTCCGGATAGTCATAAATGACCGAATTGCACGCAACCAAAATACTGACCCAAAAGGCCAAAACAATTATGTATTTTTACATAGGGTAATATTTTTTTCTCTTTTTTCTTCAATTCTTTTCTCTCTTTTATTTATTATTTGAGGGGGAGATAATATTTTTTATACAATATAAAAAAATTATTACCCTTTTACTTAATGAAAAGCTGTATTGATCAAAAGAAGGAAAGTTAACTGCTAGATAACATTAAAACGAGTTTAATATCTCTTATATTATATAAAATAATTTTTTTTATTATATATATAGGGGTGTAAATGGGTTATGTCGGCCTATAGGAGTTTACAGTCTAGCCTATATTAGGCCAGACTTGACCTATTATAAATAGTAAAATAGAACAGGCCTAGGCTTTTAAAAATACCTATTTAGAAAATAGGCTATAGTCTTTTTTGTACATGTCGAGCTTATAAGCCTACAAGCCGACTTATATCATATTATTTATTTAAAGTATAATAAATAAAATTTTATTTTAATAATTTTAAATAATAAAATAATATTATTTTAGTTATTCTTTTAATTGTTGAATGTTTAATAGGCTTAAACAGGTTAACAGGACTAGGTCAAGACTTTTACTTTTTAAATATAGGTCAGATCAGACTTGTAATTTGGGACCTACACAGACTAATAGGCCAGACCATACCCAATGCTTTTTACACAAACCTGGTCTATTTAAGGCAAAGCCTAGTCTAGCCCAGCCCATTTACACCCCTATATATATATATAGGGAAAAACAAATATTATGTTGTAAGAAAATCCTTAAGTCATGTCATAGAGACAATCAATCGTGGGTCCACTATTTTTAAAATAAAAAAAAGTAAAAGAATTTATAGGTTCACTTTTGTATTTGTGTAAAAAAATTATTTCTGTCATAAAAAACATTATCCATATATATATATATATGCGGAACTTATTCTATTTTTTTATTTTTTTATTTTTTCTTCACATTACTTTATATAAGTCTTGTAATGCATAATAGATAAAATTAATTTCTAGAAAGATTAACCCTTATTAAAATGAAAGCATTTTATGTGTTTTGCAGCGTGGGTTGACCGTTGAAGAGTGTGATGAAGTAAATAAAGGAGACATGGTGAGTGGTTGATACTTGATGGCATCGTTGATGTGACAGACTTACATTAGCAAGCAAGCACCTGTCGTCTGTCGCATCCCAAATCCCGAAAATACTACACCTCACTTTGTGCGGTTGACATGTCCATTTGTAGATTGGGTGGGCCCTACTCGTTTTGAAAATAATTATCATCTCATCGTATATTCTTTCTCCTCTGAAACAAACAGTCATCAAAATCACTACGCAGCATCAAATTTCGCAATGCATCCAACTTTTATTTTCAACTCCCTTCTCCCTTTTCTTCCTTAACGGTGGGTTTTTCCTTGAACTAAATAGAAGTTATCACTTATCTTATGTTTCCCAGCCCGTGTGAAGGTTTTTTTCATTTATATTTTGTATTATGTATGACCTACGATTTTACTGGCTCTTTGGTAGAAGTTATTTTTTTAAAATACCAGCAAATTGAATTTGGGATTCATATTTATCCATATTTAGTAGGAATGTTCACAAATTTTTCGGATATTTAATTTGTCCAAGATTTTCATCTATAGTAAAATTGTGTTGAAATTTCCCTTCTCAAAATATCACCATAGAGGTGGTATTTTTGGAATACCGGATGATGGAATTTTCACATCAAAATATTCAGACAAATCTATTCTTCCCTGCCACAAGCATACGAATGACAGAGCTATTTGTCCGTAGCACATGTGACAATGCCTAATTCACTTCCCTTTTCTTGTCTACCATCTCTTTAGCGTTTAAGGGTATCCCATTAAGACACACTACTTTCATTATCAACAAGGTTTGGAGATCAGAGAGAAGAAGCTTCAATATTTTTTGATTTGAATCCTTCTTTGGAATACCAGCATGATTGAAACAAATTCAAGAGACAAATAATGAAGAAGATTGGAGTTCGATCTAAAATTATCTAGGCTAGCTATAGTCTCTTTTGCAGCATTTTTAATTTAATTTTTTTTTCTCTTTTTGGTTTCTTTCATCAGCTACAAGGAAAGAGCTCTTAGACTTTCTTCTTCTTATCATTAGTAATTAGTGAGTGTGAATAAAAAAAAGTAAAGGTGCAGTTATTTGGCTAAAATAATCTCGCATTCTTACTAATATTTCACAATCAATAAAATACAAACTCAGTAAACTTAATTAAATAATCTCAGTAATATTTTGTCATACCAAATATTTTTTTGTAACATTCCCGAGTAATTTATTTTTCCACCATATTTCTAAAAATTATGATTCTCTGGCACACACAAAATTTTCCTTTACGGTGTTTGGTATAAGTTTTTTGGTTCAAATGTCAAAAAAACAGGGTGAGATTTTTTTTTTTACTATGTTTGATATGAGTAAAAGTAAAAAAATTCTTATGATACTTTTTTTCCATCATTCCCGTCTTTAACTACACATTAGAAAAAATAATCTCATCTCATCTATGGTATTATTTTTTTCCCATCAACTGGGAAACGTATTTTCGAATTTTAAGACAAAAATGCTCTTATACAATATATCAGCAGATGTGTAAAAATGGATAATTTTGTCATTTCGGTTCAGATTATCATCAATATTTTATAATCAACCAAACATAGTACCAGTAAAATTAACCAAATTTTCCTGGAAACTTTTTGGCTTATCAAAAACCTTTTCTTAACTTACCCGATAAAAAAAAAATTCTACCATATTCTCGAAAATCTTTTTTTCCCAGTAAAAAAAAATATCTCCTAGCATTTGTGAGGGAATCAACAGTGATGGTGGACTGATTTTTTTAAGAGATA